GCTACATTTTCTAGGATGTGACGTTTCAGTGATCAAGAATTACTATATTTTATAAATGGAAATACTACCACTGAAAGTAGAATGACATCTTTTGTTTTCAACGCCGATATACTAGAATGATGTGAAAATAATGAAAACAAGATATTTTCTGGCAGTTATACCAGGATAAATGTTGCAGCCTCCAGTACCACTGGTGACTATTATCTGGGCAAATGGGAAAACAGTTAAAACTATAGTTAAACAAAATACCACAAATCAGTTTTAGAAGTTATACAACCAGGCATGGTGGCTCACACCTATAATCTAAGCACTTTGGTAGCCCAAGGCAGGTGGATAGCTTGAGTCCAGGAATTAAAGACCAGCCTTGGAAACATGATAGAGCCCTGTCTCTACAAAAAAAATACAAAAATTAGCCAGGTGTGGTGGCATGCACGTGTACTCCCAGCTACTGGGGAAACTGAGGTGGGAGAATCACCTGAGCCCAGAAAGGTTGAGGCTGCAGTGAGCCATGACTACACCACTACACTATGGCCTGGGTGACACAGTGAGACCATGTCTTAAAAAAAAAAAAAAAAAAAAAAAAAAAAAAAAAAAAAAAAAAAGTTATAAAAATTATAGCAAAGGAAAACAGGAGATATTTCTTTCAAGGGTTTATAGTTAAAAACGTAGAAAGGACAAAGAATATTCCCATTATGACCTTTATAACTTTGGATGGAAAGATTTTTGCACCTACTGCCTGTTACCAGCACTATCTACACAACTGAAGTAATTCAATTGCACAGGAAAACAATAATTGTACAAATCCCATTTTAAGATGTATACCACTACACATTTCCCTTTACTATATAAAGTGGCAGTTTTAGTCACTGAGTAGAAGTAAGTTGTTTTCGCTGATAACTTCAAAGTATATCAATTACTAGATGTGACCCAACTGAGGAAGATGAAAATTATTAGTTGAGAATCCTTAAGAGAAATTACTGGAATTTACAAAAGCAGGATCTAAGCTATTTGAGGCTATGGTTCTAAAACAGTTAGATGTAAACCTGGAAGAAGGCTGAAAATTATCCAGAAAGGGCAGAACATGTCACCTGGAACATAAAGTAAGGCTGTACTTCCCTTACACCAGGGATCAAGTTCTGCCTGGCTGGTTAGTTGCCCGAAAAGTAGCAGCCAATTCCAGATGGAGTCAAGTGCTATAAAGAATGAGTCCAGGTCTTTCCTGTGATGACACACCAGACCGCTGGCCAACATGAGATGTTCTCACTGGTCTTTTCATTGTACTGATTTCAGTTACTGTGTTCATATATGCTAGGGCATCCATTTCTTTTTTTCTTGTCAGAAAAGAGCAAATGTGATAGGAGCTCACAAAACTTCAATATATTGAACAGGTGTTCCTCAGCCCAATCCTAAAAGCTGCTAAGCAGTCTTTAAAAGCTCGAAGTGCTTCTAATGTTTCTGAGGAAGAAAATACACAAGTAACTTTAACTGACAAAGGGAATAACCATAATACGTGGACAGCTGATAGAATAGTTCATTCCAACATCATCATGTTCACATAGGATCACAGAGGATGAATACCTTATCTGTTTTATGTTCACATACAGAACAAATTGGTATATAACTGATCAAACACAAAATCCTGGGCTCTTTAGAAACTTACAAGAATGTAATAAGAATAAATACTCCTGTTCTACAGGTAAAAATTACAAAACCTACTTTTTATCATTAATTTTTATCAACACAACATTACACAGCCCCTTGATGAGACCAACTTTGCTCCATCACACACGATTGCATGAATAACAGAAGGCAGGACTTATCACTTGGTACTACAGTGTGATATTCTGTGTTCGTTAAACATCTTATCTCATTTAATATTTGCAACACTAATAGGTAGGTATTAAGGAAATAGACTCAGAGACATCAAATAACGTGACCAAGGTCATGCAAGTAGTCTTAAAGAATGTATCTTAAAGATACATTCTAAGTTATTAATTATATGCATAATGAAACCTCAAATCCATGCTTAAGAAGAAAATAGAGCCTAAAACATTTAAATTGAAAAGAAAATGTGTTCACTGCATTGACTTTAAAAAAAAAAAAAAAAGAAAGAAAAGAAAATCCTAAACACACTCTAACAAGTTTTAGTACTCTTGCCAAAAAAGAAAAAAAAAAAACAAATCGATTCCAACTAGTCTATACTTTCATTTATATTTAGAATATGAGCTGGGCATGAGTATGTAATGAATATATATATGTGTATCTCTCTGTGTGTATAACACCCACATTATTCAAAAGCTCCCAAAAATGTAGAAAGTTTGTTCCAATCCTTCTCTATTTTGTCTAGTTTAAGAGTTCTTTGCAATATGCTTATGTAAATACTGATTTTAGCTGCTGTTCTCATTTCTCAAATCTTCTGCTTCTAAACGGATTGGAAAAGTGACAGACCTAAGCAGACATCTTTGGAACACAAAACCAAGGAGATATAAACAAATACAACCAGATCAAAAACAAAGGCTTCTCCTTTAAACCCTTTAACATATCACTACAGATAAAAGAACTGAGAATAAAATATACTGTTTTTGGCTAAGGGTGTGTATGTGTATGCTCAGGTTAGTGTCTATTTTATTAACACATACAATGAACAGCATCTTACCTCAGCTGACAAAAGCTCTAGAGGAGTATGAAACAGAAACAAAGGAAGACTGTGAAGCTGGGCCATGGGAAAGTGTTCAAAAAAACAGTTCTAGATTGTTAAACTGAAGGTGAGTGCCCTCAGCTTTCTTATACCAGAATTCATGTTACGGTTCAATTGCATTAATAGCTCATCGACTCTGAAGGTGATTTGCCTCCGTTCACATTTCAAAGAGATGCTAAAGAGGATTAAGGATGGACCTGAAAATTACCATTTCACTTACCTGAAGCTGAGCCTTCGTTACAGACATAAGTAAAAAGCTATTATGATAACACAAACACAAAGCACAGTATACATAATATGCTGGAAAAAAACTAATGTAAGTTATGAACATACCATTTCCACTTAAAAGTATCAAACTCACCAGTGGAAAAGTTACTATCTGAAATTATTACATATGATACTATTGGAATGAAAGTTGAAATAGAAGATACTTTTCATGAGGACTTGGCAACAATATCAATAGATTTTGCACTCTGATAACATAACAATCACATTATTGGAAACACATCCTAGTGGGGCATTTTTGTCATAGTTGAGAGCCGAATATATATCTGGTATGTATCTTCTACATGTAAGCTAATAATACCACAGATTTTTATGTAAGCAAAGTAAGTCAGTCTATGAGCAATTTTACCAAAATAAGAAAAAACGTTTATACTCATCCAATGTGCTTTAAAAGTCATTTTATTAATAGACTTGTAATTAAAGACTCTTTAATCATAAGAATGTATTATTAGAGAATAAAAATAAGCATTCTTGGAATGAGAGAAAAAAATGTGACAAAAAGCATAATGAAAATCTCAATGCTTCCAGAAATGACTTTCTTCTTTAAGGGTGATCATACTGACAATTAAAAAAAAAAATACTAGAATGTTCAGTATAGAAGTGATCAAGGACTAAGGTAGTGGCTTTGGCCTTCTTTCTGCTTAAGAAATCAAAGGGAGAGACTTCAGCTTTTGGATGGAGAACAGATATCGCAGTCTCCAGATTTTACTTCCAGCATCTCAACCCACATCCAGCCTGGTGTGAAGAGATGCCAGATGGGGCTACGTCTGTTATTTCGACTGCTGAAGCAGGATACATTCGGTATCCTGCTTGTTTCTGTTAGCATGAATATTCAGCCACAATAAGGAGGAGCAAGGGTAAGTGTGCTAACTGTATTAAGTAGGTCCAAATCATCTTTATCCTTTTTCTCCTATTATAGATTAAGACCAAAAAAAGTCAACATCTCGAAAATGCCACTTTTGCTAAGCTTAGAAAATATTCATTTATCAATGAAATGATGCTGTATATACATTTAATGTAAATGTATTGAGAGAAATATGTGGGCAGAAGAACAGAGTAACTACCATTGGGGAGAAAAGTTAAAAGGCAACTAAAGTGAATCAGTAATTAGTTTCCACTTTATTTGATTTTCATGATTTCACTATTTTCTCAGAAAATGCTGAGGCATGACCATATCAGTGTTCATCACTCAGAACACCAATTAGGTTCCTTTAAGTATCACAACAGACTTCTACATTGAAATGTTATCCTTTTGTACAAATAATGCTTATTTCTCATTCTTTTCTATTTGTATCTTGAAAAGGATCACCAAATCCAAAAAGGGAAATTTCATTATAAATAATGAAGTGACAATTGCTATCTGAGAATAAATTTTAGAATCACGATTATCACAACATTGTGATAATTCCTGAAGGGTCACCCCACCACCATCTTTCCCAGAGGACACAGAATACGTTTCAGAAATAAACTTTGCATTTTAGCAAAAATAAGTATATTATTTTAATTATTTCAAAAAGAAAACCTAAAAGCAAGCTACACAGACTATGAGGGAAAACATTCACTAAAAAATACCTTCTCCATTCCCCACTCTCCCCACCAAAAAAAGGTAAGGTAACTCATTGTACAGGAAGAGATGCTCTTCAAGAAGTCAATACCTCAATGCATAATCTGAATTCCATCCCCCACATGACACGTCTTACTAAAAAAAAGCAATTATGGAGAAATGGTGGCACAAGCTAATCAGGGTTCCCTGTATCTCCTTACATAGCCAGGTAAGGAGCTAATGTCCTGGGTGCTAGGAACCAGGTATACACCTCACACTTACTTATGATCCTTAGGGCCCAGTATGTTATGTCTTCTAAAAATAAAACAATTCCTAATAAAGAATGGAAATCAGCCTGCTCTTTAGGACTGAGAGATAAATTCTGAGCTTTTTTTCACATCCCAATGAGCATTCATTATAGAAGTAAATCAATGCCAATGCAAGGCACGTATGTGGAAGTCGAGATAGACTTACGAAGTAGCCTGTTCCCAAGCTGGAAGGAGCTGAACTCTGCAATAAAGCATAAAGACAAAGTGGAAAATCAGCAATGGTTTTTAACACGTTCCAATCCACACAGCTCATTACCAGTCCTTTGCAGGCTTTTCATCACTACATCACATCACCAGTGTATGCTGCCCCTTGTCATCTGCTACTGATACAAACACCATGTTGCTTAATTTTCCCCTTTACATCTCTCAACAACTCAGAGATGCTAACGTGCTATTTACTGAATTCCAAGCTTCTGCGGTGGACGTAATTGCCAATTTATTTGACAGGCAGCTGGGTAATGAATTAATGATGGCATTTCGCCCTGCACTGAGACTAAACAGACACGCATCAGCTTGCCTCCCTGACTTGCTGACATTCAATGCCCTGGTCTCAAGCTACTCAGTTTTGTGGCCGCAAAGGGGCAGGCAAGAGGGAAAAGCCTAGACTGACTTGAAAATAAAAAGTCCAGTGGGTTTGGATGACTTTTCCAGTGTATGACCTACTTGCCAGTTTATTCCCTAAAGGCACCAGTTAGTACACACACAGCGCTTTTCAAAAATGAGACATTTTGTAAACGTAATTAGTAGACTAAAATGCGAAGAATGTGTGGACAAAGAGAAGCAGTGAAAAGCTCCATTTTTCTGAAGGGTTTAAGAATTACCAGTTTAGACTTTCATAGTTCAGACACATGCGAACTTAAAAACATTAATTCTGAAAAGAATGCAGGGCGTCACTTATTTGAGGAAAGAAGCCAAATAATTGTATTTTAAACTTGCCTGAGATTCTGATTTTTGTTTCTCTTTTATCTCCTAAAACATCTCCTTATAAAATTTTTAATTTTTAGGATCCCCTTCGTCTTTGTGATTAAGCTTGAAATGAAGATAAAGCCAATGCTGAATAGGTCTGCAGGTCTCAGCTAAGCATCCCTGCACCAGCCAAGCCTCTTTTCTGGTAAGCTTGGGTTGGATGTTACACCTTCCCAGGAGCAAAATGACCTTTGCCCTGATGCGACAGTTAAGTTACTCTGCTCACTGGTATCTCTTTTGCCTACATGTCCTGCTGCCTACTCTGGAAACTTCAGATAGCAGTAACCATCTGGCTTATTCATCATTGCTTCTCAGAGCTCTCCACAATGACTTACATACAGGGTGCATTTAATAAGGACGTGTTGAATGAATGTATAAACAAATGAATGGATTACGTATAAGAAACGCGGCTCAGGAGAATCTAACATCTGTAAAAATACCGCAGATGTGATTCTTCTTGACACTAAGCTCTTTGAGACGGAAATATGTAGTGTAACGACATCTACATCAAACAGGAACAGTGTGCTTCAGGACATTCCTTAATGCAGTTCCCAAAGCAAAACTTTCTTCATCGCAGCATTTCACACAAGCTCAGGGGAATGAAGCACCATAAATGTGTGATCTTGCTCACTGGACTCAGTTTTTTAAAATCCTGCTGCATTCTTAATCCCATAAATGGTATGGAGGGAGATCCACAGTAGTCATGGAGACAACTTCTCAAACCAGTGACTAGCCATATGACAGCATCACCTGTTTCCGGCACCCACATCCCTCCATGCAGCAGCAGAAGAAAGCAAAAGCCAAGTTAGGTCTCCACCAGCTTGGAGTCATGCCCCTGGGAAGTAAACTCATTTTAGGATGAATTACTCAGAGAGACCATGGGATTTGTTTATTTCATTTCTTTCCCTTCCTGCAAATATATTTTATCCCAGAAAGAGAAATACTCCCACAAAACCTACTTCCCTACCCCCACAAACATATCATCTTATTGTATACCAAAGAAAATTACATCCTTCAGGTCTCAGAAAGCTCTGTTATGCTCATTTTGCATATATATTGTACATTACTCAGCGAGCTGGGTGGAGAAGAGGGCTTTGTTGTGCATATTTGTTCTGGCTATTGTTTATGCAGGTCTGACTGAATGAGGGAACAGTGGGTATCATTTCAATTTCTGATGTCAACATCAAATTACTTATTTAATTTCATGCCTGGCGAAGCATTGTATAGCTACACGCAGAATCATTTCACTTCATTTGTTATGCTGTGTTTTCATGGCGATTGGCTTGCCTTCCAACTGACAGCTTTAATTACGACATGAATTTGATTGCACTGCCGAGGAATTAACATAATGCAACAAAGCATTTAAGCACCCTGCCTTATAACCCCCCTCCCCCAGACAGGGGCACACACAAACACAGGCACACGATGGAACACAGACACAAGATCCCCATATACACTAAAGGTCCACGGGAATTTGTTTCAGCGTTTGCTGAAAAGTATACAGAGTCTCGTATCAGGAGCCACTCACATTTGCCAACCCACTATACTCTTCTCTTTTTTAAAAAAGGAAAAAGATGCATGGTATTCAGTTTTGATTTCTGGATCTGGCAGAAAACACGTGTAGAAAAATCCTCCTCTGATCCACTTTGCCAACTGTCCATGGCACTGACACTTCCTCCCCCTTACACCCTTTGCCCCACATTTTTCTTGGCTACTTGCAACTCCCTTCAGTCATAGCTAGAGAATTTGAATGGAAGTAACATCTATTATGTAAAGAGATTTCTGCTTGTCCAGTTCTACAACCCCAGGATTCTGACTATAGCCTTGTATTCAGTGAGATGCTATGCCTGGTCACCAACAGGACCCTACCATCAAAGAATAGGTAACAGAAGTTACCAGTCACAGGGAAGTCAGAGTTTAGCTGAGGCTCTCAACAAGTATCATATATCCCTGAGGTCTTGCTATCCAAAAGGCCGAGAAAAGAGTCTCTGTCATATATTTTTATGTAAATCTGTATCTAAATATGGCTGCAAATATTTGGTAGCTTCAATAATTTTCCAAAACAGAAATTACATGAACACAGGCAACAACAGATAAAGCTAAAAACAAACCAAAAAAAAAGGGGGGGGGGGATGTTTAGAAATAGCATTAATATTGTTTGAAACGTGCTGTAAGTTATTCCTTTACAGATATGTATTTAGGGTTTGATACTGCTTTCTCATTTTATAACAAAAGAGCCAGTAACCAAAAGGTAAAGAATCAGGAAAGTAGACAGATGATAATGTCCTAACTGTTGAACAATTTGACAAGACTCTTCTTTAATGATCAAGATCATTACTCACTGCAACCTCAAACTCCTGTGCTCAAATGATCCTCCCACCTCAGCCTCCTGAGTAGCCGGGACTACAGGCATGCACCACCATGACCTGCTTTTTTTTTTTCTAAAGATAGGGTCTTACTATCTTGCCCAGGCTGGTCTCAAACTCCTGGCCTCATGTGATCCTCCTATCTCGGCTTCCCAAGGGTTGGGATTACAGGCATGAGGCACTGCACCAAGTCTCCGCTGTCAATTTCCAGTAAGAAGAGAGCACTTCCATATTTCTTACTTGGAGACTTCAAGCAAAGTCTGTCCAAACTATATCGCAAAAGAGGCCACAGAATACAGAAAAGGCTGTGAGTCAAATTAAGACTTGAAAATTAGGAGTTTTTTTTTTTTTTTTTTTTTTTTAAATAAACAGAAGTTTCATTGGTTTCAAAAGCACTTGAAATAATATTATCCATCCACGTTTAGGCAAATACTTCTGTTGAAAGGGCTTCATTCTTATTTCTTGAAGTGGTAGAGTTGTCAATTCATTCATATTTTCAGTGTGGTAAGTAGAAATGAGAACTATTAAGAGGCTGAGAAAATAAGAGTAGGAGAACATTTTAGCAGTTTGCATGAGAAGACAAGGATATAAGGAAATGCTGGCCAGCTGGCTATCTGATATGCAATTTCTGGGCTCATTACAAGTCATCTCCTGTTTAACATGGCCTTTTCATTCTGCTGGATTTTTTTTTTCATATTTGACCACTGCTCCAGCAATCTCTGCAAATTACCCATCTCCATCTCATTATATTGTAAAGGAGGGCTTTCTTAGAGACACACTCTGTCTCAATCTTCATGCTACCATGAGCTGCAGGAATGTAATGGGATGCACAGTTGAAAGACGTTTCCAGGAGGGAGAATGTTGCTGCTGACATTCAAGTCTGCAAGTAGATATTCATTAAACACTCATTCTCCTCTTCTCACTTCCCCCCACTTGCCTTTCCTTCCATCTCTGTCACTAAGCCATCATCGAAGCTACTCATTACACTCATGAAGTTAACATTTTTGTTTTAACAGCATACTTACAACAAGGGATTTCAAAATTGATTATTCATCTAAAATAGATGTGCTCCATTTATTATAAATCCACGCAGAGAAGCCATGGCTACTATTACAGCTCACTGAGTACAGACAGGACATATTGTGTACTCCACCCCGAGGTGGGCATGCGTCTTCTAACCCTATGGCTAATTTAAATGGAATATGTTTAAATTTTTCCAAAGTGCCAACTGTGTCTGACATCCCTGGCCACCCACTTTCATATTATGCTTTTCTTTCTTGGGAGTAAAAGGGAGAAGGATCATGCCAGGAATCATATGAACAAGTAAGTTTCTTGCAAAGGTCACAAAACAAGCTCATTCACAGATCTTCCTGTAGTGATTTAAAAACCTGAAATCTTAATCCAAAGAAAGCTGCCTTGGAGATAAGATTACTAATAGCCGACACACACACACACACACACACACACACACACACGCACACACACACCCGACCGAAAAAAAACCCACAAAATATATTTGAATGAGAAATGAGCATATAGCTGTTGGAAGAAATCAAGTAAACGTGGAACAACAACTTGATAAAAGCATCAGGTGTGGAAATGCTACCTCATTTCCAATATCAATTATTCAACCCTCTGTTACACCCACTACAGGTTGTCAGCAGTTCTCATCTCTACTCAACAGCCTCTGGCTTCTATCTCTGATTTCATTCTTGCTCTCATCTTCATGGGCAGCTCCTCACATAAAAGGCAAAATAAACATTTTAAAATAAGAACTATAACTCCAATCCTTAAAACATATTCCAGTGGCTTTTAAGGTAACTTGTCATGGATTGAGCAATGTCCCCGT